GCTCAAAATTATGGAATTTGAGTTGTAGGCATTTATAGCTTCCTCAGCCTCTCCTACAACTATTTCATCGCCTAAGAACCCCTCCCCCCCCCCCCCCCCCTAAACCGCTATTTTTTTCCATACCGGGCATGATCGTCACCACCATTTCCTCATAAAGTCAATACATGTATTTTATTTTTCTTCATTGGCCGTTTTCTCAAAACGCGACTTTTCTCTATAGTTTTTTTTTTTGTTTATAGATCTAACTCCACCATTTTTCATCCAATCTTCATGAAATTTTCACATAAGGAAGAAAAGATGTAATACTAAAAATGTGTTTCTTTAATGTTCGATATATGGAATAGATTTTTGTTGGTGGTGTCTGAAGTGTGTATTTTCACGAATTTTTTGCAAACTTGAATGCTACCTCAGGAAAAAATTCATTAAAAAATGTTCTAACTCGTTTACGAAAAAAAGAACACAAATTTTTAGATCTAATGTAACACGATTGCAAAAAAAAAAAAGAAACAAACAAAAAAAACAAACAAAAAATGATCAATTAATTTCCATTAGCAATAGGTGCGGTATTCATTACGTAAGACATGTCAACAAAATCCAATATGGCCCCCGTATCTATAGAAACAAAACTTTTTTCTCAAATTTGATTGCGGATTTTAAGACTCCTTACTATGCTTGTTATATGTGCGAAATTTGGTAAAATTTGGGGGGGGAAAAAGGGGAATTACCCTTCAGGGGTAACCCCCCCCCCCCCCCCCCCCCCCCGCCTTCCTTTACTTATCAAGGTCATTAGCTGACAAAAAGAAACTTATTTTACCATCTATGAAATTTAAAACAATGGGTGAAAGGGCATTTGAATACATAAGGCCCAAAATCTGAATGCTTTACCGAATATTTTGATTCAAATAAATATCAACTGAAGTCGTTTCTGTTTCGAAATTAATAAGATGGGTACATGTGTATTTGGAGTGATTTTCTTCTAGTCAGAACACACCGTTTTCTGTTACTAATGTTGTACTTTGTAGTAGCCTACGTAATGTAAAGCGCCAAGACCCTGTGTACTTTACTTTAATCGGGGCTGAGCGCAATATAAATGTCATTTATTATTACATGTACTACTATGAGATTTAACTGTCCCTTGGTAAGTTTGAACTGTGGTCGACCCTACACTAAACGAAGCCGGAACTAGGACTAGGAACTACTTAATAATTTGAGCCTCGCTTTGCAATGGTCCCCTCTTATTCTTATGTTATTGTTTTACATATATGTGTGTTGTTGTTGTTTTTTTTTCTAATATAATTTTTGTTGTGGGGGGGAGGGGGGGGGTGCACCACAGTTCAATCAGAGAGTTTACAGTAATACTAGAGAGGTGACACTTCGCCCGGATGCGCGTATCTGGGTACCAGCTGATCGTGGAGAAACGCGCGGTAAACAAAACAAACTGCGTTCATTGTTCAAGGCATTTTCGTTGATCGCAGACAAGCATGGCCCCGGTTAGCACGAAATGTCAATGGTGTTCTGCTATAAACTGCAAGTATTAGAATCAAAATCTGAGTTTCGATTTCCAAAGGACGACGAATATATTTTGATGAATAGAATGAATAGAAAAATATAGATCAAAATAATGACAATGTGATTGTGGTCCTACCAGACTGACACTCCATACAAAAACTCAACACAATTCAACTTTGTTATGTCAGCTATAAATTGTTGGGGTTTTTTTTCCTGTCTAAATGCCCAAATAGAGCTTGCATTCTACTAGTGAAAGATATGTTACCTGGGTCTGCGAAAAGATGTCTAAAT